TGGTAGGTAGGTAGGTGCAGTGATTCGTGTTTGCCTTCGGGCATGCCAAGGCAATTTGGTATGGAAACGCCCCGCCCCTGCGACCTTGACAAGCGCTTCAATCGGTGTATCAGTCAACTGATATCTGAAAACTCTTTGTTTTGCCCAATTGGAGACTGTGTTACGGCCAAGCCATGACGAAGTTCCATTTCCCGACGCCCAGGCCCTGCCATTCAGATTGGCAATTAATAAGCCAGATGTCAAAAGCCCACTGTAAACGTTGTGATTACATTAAGCGTTTTAGTATAGGAGCATGGTTGCGAGAACCATCCTGTACAGGAGCCATTCGCACATACGCCCCTTGCACCTCACAATATTCCTAGCAAAGTACCTACCAGGTTGAGAGCTCTGTGAAAATTGCCTGTTAGATCCAAGAATGAAGTAGCAGAAACACCTCCACAAGACTTCAATGCGCTCCAGGTCAGCAGCGACGACAGTCGTCAGGATGGCATAGTCATGACCTTTATCTAAAGTTTAAACCTTTAATGGTATATAAACCACACCTGTTTATAGTGAACCAGATGCGACCACAGTACCACGCGTACACCCTTTTGCAAATCCCACTACGATAGGACTGCAAGGAGTGGAAAGGAAGCATAATGAGAAGAAGCCACGACTAACTGTTTTGGGTTGTCCTTCAAGCGGACTGCAGAAGGCTCGGATCAGTCGTTGTTGGCGACTGAGACCTTAACGAACTGAACCGACGCAGGCGACAGATCCTGAGTGGAGGCAAGATTTGCATCTGTACCGGGGTTTAGGTCCGTACCCTTCATTATCGTGTTGTTTCTATGATTAAACAGCCAGACTGTTCGGCACATGTTTGTCGAAATCATACTTCCATCCGCTTAGATCATTCTTAAAAACTTTTGTCCGTGGGTCCTCAGCCAAACTCAGGACCTCAGCCCAACAAGTCGGGCCAACCCTTCGTCTGCGATCCCAAAACTAAGGAGGGTAATGATCCAGACGCCGATTTCGGGTAGGCGGCAAAGCGAGCATCCAATTGTGTATGGCCATGCCTAGTCGCTGCTTACGAAATGGTTTTGCGTCGTAATGCGGGGCTGTCAGGGCCTTCTCCATGGCAAATTTTACCAATATTGCGTTCCATACTTTAGGAAACTGCTATTGATAACCTTAAGATTTTAAAAGTTTTGAATTTTTGGTGATTTTGAAAACGCATACGCAATCTTCATCCAATTTTCCCAGAAAACCACCTTTCCGCCTGTCTGGAGCAAGGTGGGTAAGCACATGCCAAGCCAGGTAGGGCTGTGAGCAGTTGCAACGATAAGCAAGGTTGGTGGCTGTTTAAACGCCCGGCGGGAAGTTGCCGGAAAGGATACAAAGAGGGTCTTTCCATTGTCTGGTCGTAAATTTTCGTAGATTCTCCTTAGGGCCGGCCGGGCCCGCCGCACCTCCTTTTTTGGGATTTCTTGCACAAACTGATAATATAGATCTAAACGAATGTGTGTATGTAATTTTGGCAGCGCGAAGTGCCCCATGCGAGAAGTTGCCGGACGGCCAATGGAAAGGGAGATTTCCGTAACTTTTCCATTACACTCGCTAAGAAATACTTAGCTAGTACATGCTCCCGACCATGTATTAAATTGTCGACCTCGCATATACTCTTCACATTTGTGTGAGCTGAATAGCCAAATATTTGGTGCGTTGACCAGTGCAGTCGCGGCGCTCGGAAGCGACAGACGCCTGCTACGCAAAATCGGCGAGTGCTATTTCCTCGTCAATGTCCTTCCAAGGAACTCCTGCTGAGTACCTTGGAACTCATATGAATGACGAGGCTCGCTTGAGATAGCTTCAAGTGCAGCGTGGCCTTGTCAATCTCGAGTCGGGTCACCACCCCGCTTTCCCGGAATATCATCACGAGTTACATCATTCGCAAATGTCGTATGGAGGCCTTAACCAGGTCGCGTCCCAGCACAACTCTGCGCGCTTGCCGACGGTGCCCATGGGGACATTGTCTAGGGGAGTCAAGGAATGCGAGCGAAAACGTGCTGGGCAATAGTAGTAATGTGCTCGAGGGCTAACGTAGCTTAAAAGTGAGCAATTTCTTACAATCCGTACGTCTGATAAAAGTTGTGTAAAGTGGGCCCAATGGCAAGTGAAATTAAGGAAATTTCTTAAGTTCTCCATAGAACTTAAGGAACTTTCCCAGCCGCTGGCCAATGGAAAGACCCTCAAAACAAACAAATCCAAGCTCAAGACGACTAGGACAAGGCATATTGGGCAGCTGTAGGCCAATAACACCAAAACGGACACTAAAAATGTGGTCGTACCAGGTGACGGTACAGAAAGTACGGAAACACCTCCGTACCGCCAGACGACACCGCTTACCAGTGTTTACAACGACCGCTGCTTACACCAGTACAATTATAAACTTGTTTCAACAGCAGGTACCGACACTATCCTTTCGGATCTCTTGTAACCTTTTGGATCCAGTGATTCAGTGATGATGTACTGCACGATTGTTTGAGATGTGGCATGGTTGAGGAGCACTACACGATATTCATCAACGTCAAAAGAAGTAATACTTCGCCCACTGGTCAGCGCCGTTACGTGTTAGGACGTCGTGGATAGCTCGGCCGCCAGCCCTTTTTCCTCGTCAGCATCACCAACCGCTCACAACCAATCAATCCATTCAGCCAGCCATTCATTCATTTCGGAAGGTCGCTCAGGACGCAGCCAATCCTGGAGGTGTCCGTGAAACAGCCAACTAAATAACAAACAACTAAATAACCGACCGGACAAGGGCCCCCAAGGCAGGGAGATGGGACAACCGCGTCGCCAAGGAAATCTCCCACCTCAAAA